TTAAAATTGGTGTTTGCTTCGGTACCTTTAATATACTCGGGGAGAAGTCGTTAATTTATGCTATTGTTCATATGGAATCACGAGAAAGTGTTGAGAAGCTTTTGTTTAAGGCATTGAGAGTTTAATATCTTTAGTTTTATTACTTATTTATTCATTCATTCATTCATTCATTCATTTATTGATGTTTCCTTTTCCCATTCAGATAAACACTTACATAGCGAATGGAGATAAAACATCGCTGAGAAAATCAGTCACAGAGAAAATGTACTCGGTGGGTACTTTCTCATTTGCTACCCTGGGAATTTAGGATCTCTTTTTACTCTTGCAGTGTCTTTGCCACCACTTTGCCCTTTGAAAGGAAATTAATCTGTGCCGTTTGCCCCTCTTCTTTTTTATAAGACAGGCTCTAAAGAATGAGATCAGGCAAAGAAAATCTGTGTGGAGTCATGTATACTGGGAGCTTATTGAACCAATTGTCAGAATACGAACCCTGCGAGCTCGTATGGTATGTTTTGAATTCATTAGATTGTAATAAAAATTCACTTTGCTGCATTTTATTAAGGCTGGCACCTGGAGTTTGCTAACTGGAAATGTATTACAGAAGACTACATATGAAGAGTAAGATGTGTGAAGCAAAAAGGTGGGGTAACTCTGGGAATGGATGTGGTGTGGTAAAGCAAAATTTAAAATTTGTTGCAGAGAGGGGTTTGGGGTGGGGTAAAGAAAATGAGAACATAAAGGAGAAACTACAGTGAGGAAAAGCATTAACCTTTATGGTTCATGGGAATGTTATAGATGTTTCTTGTATCATTCCTGTTGTTGTGGTATCAAGCCTAACCATAAGGTTTTATTAGTTAGCACAGGCTTAGCCAATTTTGTGCTATGTATGACAATGAACATACACACACACACACACTCTTCGTAGAGTTTTGAGACACAAAAATATGCAATACTCTTTATTTCACATGGTATTACCGTATTAGAATGAACATGTTCGACCCGTTCTCTGGCAGCATTGTCTCTTTTCTGCTCACAATTGTTCTTCTTCGTTCTTTTCTGGTTATCATATACTTCTCCTTACACCACTACTGTGCTCGGAAAGACGTTTTGCAATCGCTGTCGGAAGCCCCACTCTTGAGCCTCATTTATGCATGCTTCTTTGTGTGTGCCTCTGTCATGCTTATTCTCTCATTTTGGTCCAGATCCCATTTTTTCGATAAAGAACCTAATCATGCTAACTCCACCAGGCTACTCATCTTCCATTGATGACTCCAACAATGTGATTGTCATTGAATGCCACTACCTCAATTATTCTTCATGACTAAAGCATTCCATGGTGAAACAGTTACAGCTCTATATTATTTTTTAGGAATAATTTCTCATAGGTGAGGCGAAATGGACTTTTCTCAGATACACGTTTGAACAAACAACTGATGGACATTTCAAGACCAGCAGCTTCTCAATAGATAGCAGTACAACAATGGCGATTTGTGCTGTGAAAGGAGGATGTCCCAGTGACTACATAGCTTAATGAAAGGTAGAGTTATATTTTCATCATCCACCTCATCATCATCATCATCATCATGATCCTCATCCTCATCACCATCATCATCATCTTCATCCTCGTCATGATCTTCATCCCCATCATCATCCTCCCCCTCATCATCATCCTCGTCCTCCTCCTCATCATCATCATCATGATCCTCATCGTCATCACCATCATCATCATCCTCATCCTCATCCCCATCACCATCATCATCCTCCCCCTCATCATCATCATCATCATCATCATGCTCATGATCATCATCATCATCGTCCTCCTCCTTCTCATCATCATCATCGTGATCCTCATCCTCATCACCATCATCATCATCTTCATCCTCATCATGATCTTCATCCCCATCATCATCCTCCCCCTCATCATCATCATCATCATCATCATCATCATGCTCATGATCCTCATCATCATCCTCGTCCTCCTCCTCCTCCTCCTCCTCATCATCATCATCATGATCCTCATCGTCATCACCATCATCATCATCCTCATCCTCATCCTTATCATGATTTTCATCCCCATCACCATCATCATCCTCCCCCTCATCATCATCATCATGCTCATGATCATCATCATCATCCTCGTCCTCCTCCTCCTCCTCCTCCTCATCATCATCATCGTGATCCTCATCCTCATCACCATCATCCTCATCCTCATCATGATCTTCATCCCCATCACCATATCATCTTCCCCCACATCGTCATCATCATCATCATCATCATCATGATCCTCATCCTCATCACCATCATCATCATCCTCATCCTCATCATGGTCTTCATCCCCATCACCATCATCATCATCCCCCTCATCATCATCATCATCTTCATCCTCATCACCATCATCATCATCATCATCATCATCCTCACCCTCATCATCATTATAATCCTCCTCCTCCTCCTCATCATCATCATAGAATAGTGAGTTGAATATATTATTCAAATTACTGTTTTCTAGTATACTTCAATCGATGAGGTTCTATGTGTAGAGGTGAATATATGTTTTTATCAAAACCAATGCTATTATTTATTTTTAAAACCAATACTATGTGTATATTATTATTATTATTATTATTATTATTATTATTATTATTATTACTACTACTACTACTACTACTACTACTACTACTGCTGCTGCTACTACTACTGCTGCTGCTGCTGCTACTGCTGCTGCTACTACTACTACTACTACTACTAGTATTATTACTATTATTATTATTATTATTATTATTATTATTATTATTATTATTATTATTATTATTATTTTTATTATTATTATTATTATTATTTTTATTATTACTACTACTACTACTACTACTATTGTTGAGGTTTATACCTTCAACCTTCGGATCCAACACGTAAACCCAAAGATTTCGAGTGGATGTTACTATGTTAGTGAGTGAATGAGTATATGATCTAACAAGCAAATATATGGGCCAAGAAAAGGTAAGCAAATAAGAGTATCAGATTCAATTAAAGTCTAATAAACCCCTGATACAATACGCTTGCTAAGGCACGGAAACCGTTCGTCTTACACCTCAGTAGAAGAGCTGCGAGTAATAAGCTAAGAACTGATGAAAGCTAGAATGTTAAGGATGATAAGTTGTCCACCCTTTACAAAGAAATAAATGCGACTATTTATACCACCAATGGGCAGTTGGCTATGCCGACGTGAAGATCTCTGAATGGCTGATGTCCCAACCACCAAATCCTCAACATTATATGCGCTTCCCGCCAGAATCTGGGGTTCCCGCTCAATTATTGGAGACGAGCGTCTTCGGTGTGCTGGGGCCTGTCTTTGGTGATATTGTAAGGGTTGTCGGACGTACGTACTTTATTCCTTGTGTGGAATATGTTGTATAGCTTTGGACAGGATCCTTCCGGGCTACATGTGGAGACGTTCGTCTCACTGGCCTTTAATTTGGGCCCACTGGAGAGAGTATACCAACATATGGCCAGATATCCGTCTTGGATCCCAGGACAGCACGATATAGACGTTCGTCTAGTATAAGGGCTGATGGGCCGATCCTCCAATTGGGCCATTAACCCAACAATTATTATTATTATTATTATTATTATTATTATTATTATTATTATTATTATTATTATTATTATTATTATTATTATTATTATTATTATTGTTATTATTATTATTATTATTATTATTATTATTATTATTATTATTATTATTATTATTATTATTATTATTATTATTATTATTGTTAGGGAAAAATAATTAAAATACCCCAAACTTTGAAAGGGTGTGACATTAACACCCCAAACTTTCATATGTAATTAAAATACCTCAAACGTTATATAAAAAGTTATTTTAGCACCATAATCGTGTATTATTTATTTAAAAAATGTAAATGTGTGGTGTTAATTGCATAATTTAAAATAGCAAATTGAAATTGTTGCAATTATATAGAGCGGGAGGTGATACTATTTATTTTATAGTTAAAGTTTATATTGTTGTTGTAGTTGTTGTTGTTGATATTATTAAAAATAGGAAACTAACTTGAATGGGTTTACGTCCAGATAATTGGTATTATAACGTTCAAATAATTGGTATAATTAAAATTTATTTCTAAAGTATGTATTATTATTGATTCATTAAAGATAATTGATATTATTTAAAGAAGTACAATTTTTAAGTCATCATCACCCTCATCATCATCATCATCATCATAATTCGGTTCGGTTTGATTTGAAGCGATTTTATAACTCAAAAAACCGTGATATTACCGATTTATGTTCGGGTCCCATTTAAGTCTGTTTGGTTTCTGTTCGGCCTTTTTGTGCTTGGTTCGGTTTTCTTGGTTCGCTTTTTGGATTTTCGGTTTAAAATGTCAGCCCTACTATGAAGTGTAACAAACTTCACTATCCCCATTTCTTTAAAAAAATATAGCACAATAAGTTTGCAACTTTTTTGTTTGGTTCTTCATGTGCGATTGCATTTGCAGGTTGGGAAAATATTCCGAACTCTGCATCCTCCTCCTCTGTTCTTTCTACCACTACCACCCTTTCTGCCCTCATACTTAAATATAAGCACACCTGAGAAAACCACTGCTATAAAAATTCAAAGGAAGCATAAACCCACCCTCCAGTTCATCCAGTAACTTGAGATGGTTGTATCTTCCACCATCCCTCCAGGCTGCCAGTCACCTTTCTTTTCTTGACCCTTCTGTGGAAAGACTCGTCTTTTTCCTCTTTTCTTTATAAAAGGTGCAAGGACATCATGCTAGGAGGAGTATAGGACTGTAAAATTCACACACAATCAAGCTGGGCATTAATGGAGGAGAACCTGCAAGCTAAGCGTTACATATACTCAGAAACTGGAATGACTGCAGGCTGTTTGTTGAAATGGGTCAATGAAATTCCCGAAAATCACGCGAAGCAGAAAGTTTGGGGATGAATTTGAACAATAGAGTTATGTACTTGGAAGATTATGAGTTCTTGGGTTGGATCTATCAGAGAGGGGAAAGGGGAATTGGGAAATTATTAATTGCAAGCAAAGAAAAATATGGGACCCACTGGGTAAAACAAAGCAAATGTGCAAGGGGAGGTAGATGCTTTGCTTCTATGCAGTGCAAAACCAGAACATTACAACTAAATTGAATATGTAATAACTCATGTATTCTCAACCTAAAGCTACTACAAGCTACCCACTCCCCGCCATTCCCCAGCCATTAAACTCATCAAGATCGAGCCTTTATGAACTCCCGAAGAAATTTCTCATAGAAGCCAAAACATCAGTGGTATAACTGGAAGCAGAATCATCAAATTTTAAAATGTCAACAATATCAGTAATGCTACATCGATCCATCTTCATAATCTTCTAGGTATAGAATCAACATATCCTGTGGAATGAATGAAATGACACAAAAAATAGTCAGTATGTATCATAATAAAAATGCAGCATTTACAGAAATACAAATACAGTTACAAGTAAAGTCGGGAACAAAATATACTCCAGACTAAATGAGGAAATGTGTGCAGAGCAAACATATATAGAAAGAGAGTTCATATCTTCCTGAATATATAGAATATATATATTATGAAATATATTGTTTGAATCTGGTTGAGATTGGGCTGGAAATTTGGTCCCTAGATCAGAATTATATATGTTTACACTTAGATCTGGTTGACATAAACTTAGTATATACTTGGATCATAAACTTAGTATATACTTGCTGCTTTCTGGTACAACACGAATATCAAAAAATTAGCAAAAAACTATTTCATCCTTCTCATTCCCTTCAAAATTCCCAAAACCAAAAAATGGCTATGAATAAAGATTAAATAATCATCAGGAGAAAAAGGCCACTCATGTGCAAGGCCATGAGTAACGTCATATGCATTATTATCCAAGAAAGTGATGCTTGTGAAATTATAAGTGCTAGCAACAAAACATATCTATCTCCATTTATGCACATGAGTGAAATTATAACATATACCACAAACATACTCCATATATACACACACTTACACACGTACAATGGATTCAACCTCCTTTTCCATTCTTTATTCCATCTTTTGCATTTCTTTCAACCTCCTTTAGAGTACTCACAAACTGCAAATACAAATAATGCATAATATATACGAATACTTTCAAAATCAATGCTATGTATTTAATCGTTCAATAAACAATAACAAAATAAGCACCGAATTATGATATCCATGGTAAGGATATCCCTGATGCAATCCTCCATATGTTTGTGCATGAAACATTGCAGCAGGCTGAGCCGGATATTGAGGATAAAATTGCCAATTGGATGTCATATAACCATTGTAATTAGTATGATGTGTTGGTATGTTGTTATAACCAGGCATTTGTATATGTCCTCCTTGGTGATGACGATCTTGTGCAAGCATTATGCCATTTGCAAGTTCATCCTATAAAAATAGTGAAGACATGATAAAATGCATGTTTGCTCTGTTAAAAATAGTGAAGACACGATAAAAGGGTGTCTTACATTAGCATTAGTCACTGGTAAATTGATATGACTATTATTCCCTCTATCAGCATCCTGTGACATATCCATTTATACATAGTTAATACAATTTCAAAACACTATAACTAAAAATAATTTCAAACTCCATTTAAGAACTTACATCATTAGTGTTTGCACATCTAGCAGGATCTTCTGTGTTTTTCCTCTTCTTTTTATTTTTGTTTCCTTTACTTCCAAGCATATGAGCATTGCCCTTAATAACAAAGAAATGATTAAAAGAAAAATATTTAATCCAATTGCTTACTTATAATCTAATGGTTATAGAAGCAAAGAGATCTTACATTATTAGTGGTGCCGGTATCATCAGATTGCTCAGATGACTCGTCGTTTCCCTCCACCTCCTCCTCCTCAAGCACATGTAGTTGATCACGATTGATCAACGTAGGACACTTGCGTTTCGTATGACCATGTCGCTGACAATGTCCGCATCTTCTCCTCTTTCTAGTATTTCTCTCCTTACGAGGAGCACCTTTAGTCTTCACAATTGTTGGATCAAGAACCTTAGAGCCATTATTCAGATTAAGTGCATCACCACCACGCTTTTCAAATTTGCCTATCAAGCTCTGAATGTCGACAATGAACTCAGAATAAAGTGATGGTTTTTTACAAGCTGCTCTATATAACCTGTTACATGCCGCAGAGATAGCACCAGACCTCAACATGTCCAAGTTGGATAATTCAGAATCGTCACCATTACCATTAATTGAGGACATGGAATCAAGTTTAGCTTTTTTTGTCCATCTTTGGCAAATAAGACTACTCGGAACTGAATCAATATTTTCATGCCTCATAGCGCAAAATATGTGTGCACAAGGAATACCACGAGACTCGTAAAATCGACAATCACACACAAAATTACAGCCACCCTTATCATACATAACAAGGAACTCGGTATCAGTACTGCCGAATTTATTCATTCTGAAACAAGTATTATCACCACCATGCTCAACCCTTTCAACTAAATTAAGTCTAGCAACATTCTCAATTTGTTTCCTAACCTCCCAAAATTTATTCCTTGTAAAGACTTGTGAAGCCCACGACTCATAGACATGTAGAGGAGAGGTCAATAGAGGGTCAGTATACAAGGATTTAAAATCAGAAATTAATTCATTGTGTCTATACTCTTTTACGGCTCTTTCAAAATTATGCATAAAATCAACAAGGTTGTTTTTGTTCTGCACATACCGCTTAATGAATGAATTAATTACTTCACAGATGGACGTTGTCCGAATACTGGCAAAAAACTTGTCACGCATATATGCACTTGCCCACATCGTCTTCATGTCATAAACTTTCTTAACCCAATTATTGTTTGCAACTCCATGTTTGATAAGTCCGTATTTTGACACGTATTTGATTAGGGGTGGGACTTGGAACCGTAAAACCGGAAAACCGATCCGAACCGAACCGAAATTTCCGGTTCGGTTCGGTTCCTAGAGTTTTGGACTTGAGCTTTTTTCGGTTCGGTTCCTATAGTATTTCATCGGTTCGGTTCCGGTTCGGTTCCAGTTCGGTTCCGGTTCCTAGCCAGGAACCGAACTTCTTATACATTGTATGAGTAATCTTCATTTGAAGTGCTTCTGAGTGGAATTTTTTGATGAAATTTGGTGAGAATGTTTTTCATGAAATAAAGATTATGTCCACCAAATTTGAGCTTAAAATGTAATCGGGAAGTCAGTTAAATAAATTATTGAAAAACAGTACGCCAACATATATAAAAACGCAATGTTTTTCAATATTTTATTTAATTCACTTCCCGATTGAATGTTAAGCTGAAATTTGGTATATATCATCTATATTTCATGTAGAACATACTCACAAAATTTTATCAAAAAATTCTACACGGAAGAACCTCAAATGGAGATGGCCAGACGGCGTTCCGGGCCAATCCGGGTAATTATTTGTCAAGAATATTTTCTTGCATAATATACCTTATATATTGTGGACCAGACCAATCCAAGTAATTATTTGAATACTTTAGTCCACTTTTATATTTATTTTTTGTTTGTAAATGTAAATGTATTGGAGTTCATCTGAAAAAGGAATTAATATTCTATTGATTACGTTGTTTATTACTACGTACATTTTACCTATTGTGCATTACTAGTAGAAGAATATTATTTTGAGGTTGAACTACCAGCTATTAAATGTGTACTTTGGAGATATCAAACCTTTTTGCTCGACTGTTGATGCCTATTTTAAACCGAGATTTTTGTTATGTTGAAATTTAATGTTGCACTTGGATATATATATTTTTTTATTTGAACATTGAGATATCATGCACGTATAATGTAATGGTCATTATTTAATGATTTAAAGTTTGAATTTTTTTATTTAACTGAAGGTAAAATGTGTTCATTTCAGGAGGATAGTAAAATTTTTATAAGGAACCGAAAAAAGGTAAGAACCGAACCGAATTTAAGTAGAACCGAACCGAATTTAACAACCATTTTTTTAACTAGAACCGAACCGAATTTAAACCCTACAATTTTTATACGGTTCCATCGAATTTTAACAAGAACCGAACCGATCCCAGGCCTATATTTGATGCGTGTTGGGATCGGTTTTGATGGTTTTCCCTAGCTTTAAGGTGTTGCAAGTCTCAATTTTAGCTCAAGTTATGTTTATCGGGCATTGGTTCGAGTTTTGTGTTGTTTGTAGTCAAAATCAGGGAATTTGAGCCCGGTACCGGCACTTGAGGAACAATCGGGATGATTTGAGGAGCATTTGAGAATGATTTGATAGCTTTGGAGGTCACCGGAAGATTCACGATGAAGATTTGAAGGAAAAAAGAGCTCTAGGATTGGCTTCGGGATCAAAAGAAGATGAATGAAGCTTGAAAACGACGATCAGAATGACCTTCTGTCAATTGTTCAAGCATATCTCTTTGTAGGAAGAACCAATGGACACGATTCAAGTTGCATATGAAAGCCAACTTCAAGAGCTACAAATCATATGAAGAAACCTTTGCGAGAATCTGAGAGGAAGAAGGTGAAAACAGACGATGAAGTCAGATGATCTCTGCTGCGTTTTCAGAAGAACACCTTCCACCGTTTTGATCATATCTCTTGATTGGATGATTCAAATCACATTCGGCAAATTGGGGTGGATAGAGGACTTCAATATCTACAACGTTCATGAAGGAAGTTTTGTCAAATTCGGAAGTTAAGTAGGCACGATCGTGCCCTCAAAGTCAGACACGATCGTGCCTGAAGAGAAAAACACGGAGGAGTTACTGCCAGCCAGGCACGATCGTGCCTGGAGGGAGGCACGATCGTGCCTGCCCAAAATGCGCGTTTTTGCTCCGGAGGCACGATCGAAGACACGATCGTGCCTGGCATCGTGTCTGGCTCCGAAAATCCTAATTCAGCTCAAATTTCACCCGATTTTTCTATTTAAACAGCCTGTAAACCCCCGTTTTCAAGGGGGGAGCTTAGAGAGAGTGCCTAGCACGAAATTTAGAGGGCTTTTCAGCCTTGTTCATCAATCTTTTGGGATTCTTTGTAAGTTCCACCTTTTTAGTTAATGACAATTAATTCTTTTTATTCCAATTCTATTGATTCTTCAATTATGAATTGTGAGTAGTTTTAATTAGGGATTTGGGATTGATGAAGGGGTTAATCATGATTGATGGCTAGATTCTTGTCGGTTTAATTGCATGAATGCCGTTTAATTTGTGTTTGAATAATTTAACTGATATCTCTTGTAACCTAGATGGCCACTAGAATTACAATTGCTTATAGAATAAATTAAGAGAGATCTAATTTGTTCTAGGACACATTCACACACACTTAATCGTTCGCTAAGAGATTAGTAGCGATTAAGGGGCCGTAAGCTCGCTCGTCTTGGCAATAATTTAGGATCCTGTCGCATGAGAGATCAGCCTGGTCCCCTAAATTATTGTACTCTACGCCGCGAGAGCGGTAAGAACTTAGTAATGATTAGCTAGGCTCAATTAAATTAATTTCATGTAATTAGGCCTGATCTGCCAGAAATCTGGTTACCCCGGAATCGATCCCTATTCCCTTCGTCATTAATTAGAAAGAACCCCCTAGGTTAATTGTTCGCATTAGTTTTATTTTCCAAACCAACCAATCTCGCACGACGCTTTTATTTTATTTTCTTTTTAATCGCTGAATTTAGTTAATTCTTAATTCCCTTTTGTCCGTCCCTGTGGAGACGATACTCGTACTTACACCACTTTTCTACAACCATTTTAAGTGCGAGAAAACTCACATCAGTTTTTGGCGCCGTTGCCGGGGACGGTGTCGGTTTTAAGGGTTAATTAATTTTAGCGAGATTTTTTTTAGTTAGTTTTCTTTTTGTTTTCCGTAGGATTTTTCTGTGCTAACCTTTCAGGTATTTTTCTAAGAGGCATGAGATGAACCTATTCAGCCAAATTCCTGAAGGAATTCCTTACCCTCAAACCTCCATGGAATATTCAACATATACACCATACCCTCCTTACACTCCTCCTCCCTCTCCTCCTCCTCCTCCTCAATATTACACATCTCATAAAAATTATTGTCCTACACCACAAAATTTCTCATCTTCCTATTCTTACCCTCTTCCAAATACGCAATACTCTCAATCTCATTCTCCTAATCAATATCCTTATCCACAATATCCTCGGACAAAACCAGGCTCCATTATGGAATTTCTCATTCAAACTAAAAGTCCCGAGGAATTGGTTGATTACTTTCCTAAAAATAGCATTTGTAACTTCTGTGGAGGTGGTCACCATTCATGTCTTTGCCCCATTCCTCCATACGACCATCCTTACTGGGCAACTGCATACCCCACTTCGTCCTCCCCACAACTCACAAAGACAAATGTTTCAATCACTCCTACGTCTTTGCCGAGCTATGCGCCACAGGATTCAGACGACGAATGGGAAGAGATAATTTCAGAGAAGCTATCTTACCTGGAAGAAACACTCAAGAAATTATTACAGCAACAAATGCAAATTCAACAGCAACAAATGCAAATTCAACAACAACAAATCCAAATTCAACAGCAAGCAGACTCAAGGATGCAACACATGGAGAATCAATTGGGGCAGATTGCAAAGGCTTTATCTGAGGAGTCCGAGAGATCCCATCCTAGCGACACAGAAGCCCAACCTAAGGAGACCAATAGGGATGATCATGTGAGTGAGTCGGACTGCGAAGGTGGGAATATGATGGATGATACACTTCCTGATGTTTTTGAAGACCTTGATGAGAACGGTGTTAACGAGAGTTGGGATGCATTCATGGGGAGTGATACAGAGTCCGGAGGAGAGGCTGTGAATGTTCATGATATCTGTGAGGAAGAAGAGGACTTTTCTATGGTGCAGTTTGAGTACGGTGTTGCTCCTACTCCTTGCTTTGAGACATCTTTTGAGCTTCCGGTGATACCTAGGGTAATCAAAGTTTTCACTCATGTTTTCTGTCCACCTGAAGAGGATGAGAGTATCATACTTCACTTCTGTGCTGATGAGGGTTATGAAGACCATGTGCTGCCTTCGTGGGCTGACAAATTTAAAGATCTGCGCCACCTAATGACATTTGTTGAGAGGAAGCTGGAGACGTTGACTATAAGTGCACCACTACAGTCTTTGCTATTGGAGAGCCTATGGGGTAGTTGTGTCGGGCAAACGACGTTAAAAATAGCGCTTCTCGGGAGGCAACCCGAGCTTATTTCTGCTTTTGTTTTTACTTTTGCTTTGTTTGTTGTTTGGTTGTTTTGCTTTGTGTTTTTGTTGCAGCTCAGGGTCTTGTGGAATGGATGATGTGCCGAGGATTACATTGACTCAGTTTAGTTCTGCACCGACCAGCGCCTTAGGGAAGTTTCTGTGACTCTAATACTCGCTTGTTGAAATATTGACTTGAGTTAAGTTGAGCATGCGTGACCCTTTCCCCTTTACCCCCCTTGTGCATAGTGCATTTTTGGTCATCGAGGGCGATGCCAAAGTTTAAGTGTGGGGGAGTGAATTGGGCATTCGGGCAGTGGTTGTTACATGAGATTTATTAGAGTTAGCATGTGCAGGTGTTAGTTGTATATTCATAGGAAATTCATGCAAAATTTTTGAAAATTTTTCTTTAAACTGTGTCTTTGTGAGCTGGCTAGCGTTTTGACTATGCTTTTAGAACATCTTTGAAGTGTTTAGGCTTAAATTGCTTGCACTATAATCTAGTTGTTGAAAGGAGGAAGGCATTAGTCACCCATTGAATTTTCCATTAATCATCTACCCCACCTAAATAAGACCCTTTAGGAGAAGCCATTTTGAGCCTGACCGTTTATTGTTACCCGATTAATTGAGCTCCATAGCCAAATGGACCGTGTTTCCTTACCCGTGAATATTTCTGACATAGTTTTGATGTTTAGGGAACTAAGGGATTAATTTGCTAAGTTTAGGGAATTTGTGTAGGAGCCAATTTTGGCACTGTTCTCATGCCCCAAATGGGGTAAGGACAGTCATCTTTTAGGAATTTGATACTTTCGAGGATTGCATTGTAGGCATGGATTCACTTTAAATTAATGAACTTTAATTGCAATTTTTCCTTGGTGAGGCCGAGATTAGAATGGGGTAATGTCTAGTGAGAATCCGAAAGGTGAAAAATTAATTTAGCTAGACCTCTTACTTTTCGAAAAAGAGAATGGGAGCCCCGGTCAAAAAGCATAAGATGAGACTTGGGTATCTTTCGAAAGAAACGGCGTTCTCGTGCCAACATGACAAGGAAAACTAAACATAATTAAATGAACTTGGAGGCTATCTCAAAATTTAGCTTTAGTCCTCCACGTACTTCAAGTATACGTCAAAGCACAAATGTGCCGAGACGGTTTAGCTTAGTTGTACACCATGTCTATTCTTTGCATAGGTTTAAAGGATTGTTCCTAAATTGTGGCCTACTAAGTTCCTTGATCCTAAGAATAGCCCTGAAGTTCCTGAATACATTGAGTCTTTGATAGAATATTCCAATCTCTCAAAACAAAGGGACTATTATTGTTACCATTCACCCTTCACCACCATTTTCATAAGTCCTTCTGATCGGTAGCTAGTTTATTTGTGTGTGCTGTCACTACTTTGAGGATGTTGTGAATAATTTTGTCAAATAGTTTAGCTTGAGTACAAAGATGTAGTTTAGGGTTGAATTTTCTTGGTTTAGACTGTCTGTTCTGTGAGTATCCCTATAACTACGTGTGCATGCTAATTATTTTAATTCTGTGTGGTGATTATCGTTAGTCCCGTTGTTCAGTTTGCTTGAGGACAAGCAAAGGCTTAAGTGTGGGGGAATTTGATAAGTCCGTATTTTGACACGTATTTGATGCGTGTTGGGATCGGTTTTGATGGTTTTCCCTAGCTTTAAGGTGTTGCAAGTCTCAATTTTAGCTCAAGTTATGTTTATCGGGCATTGGTTCGAGTTTTGTGTTGTTTGTAGTCAAAATCAGGGAATTTGAGCCCGGTACCGGCACTTGAGGAACAATCGGGATGATTTGAGGAGCATTTGAGAATGATTTGATAGCTTTGGAGGTCACCGGAAGATTCACGATGAAGATTTGAAGGAAAAAAGAGCTCTAGGATTGGCTTCGGGATCAAAAGAAGATGAATGAAGCTTGAAAACGACGATCAGAATGACCTTCTGTCAATTGTTCAAGCATATCTCTTTGTAGGAAGAACCAATGGACACGATTCAAGTTGCATATGAAAGCCAACTTCAAGAGCTACAAATCATATGAAGAAACCTTTGCGAGAATCTGAGAGGAAGAAGGTGAAAACAGACGATGAAGTCAGATGATCTCTTCTGCGTTTTCAGAAGAACACCTTCCACCGTTTTGATCACATCTCTTGATTGGATGATTCAAATCACATTCGGCAAATTGGGGTGGATAGAGGACTTCAATATCTACAACGTTCATGAAGGAAGTTTTGTCAAATTCGGAAGTTAAGTAGGCACGATCGTGCCCTCAAAGTCAGACACGATCGTGCCTGAAGAGAAAAACACGGAGGAGTTACTGCCAGCCAGGCACGATCGTGCCTGGAGGGAGGCACGATCGTGCCTGCCCAAAATGCGCGTTTTTGCTCCGGAGGCACGATCGAAGACACGATCGTGCCTGTCATCGTGTCTGGCTCCGAAAATCCTAATTCAGCTCAAATTTCACCCGATTTTTCTATTTAAACAGCCTGTAAACCCCCGTTTTCAAGGGGGGGAGCTTAGAGAGAGTGCCTAGCACGAAATTTAGAGGGCTTTTCAGCCTTGTTCATCAATCTTTTGGGATTCTTTGTAAGTTCCACCTTTTTAGTTAATGACAATTAATTCTTTTTATTCCAATTCTATTGATTCTTCAATTATGAATTGTGAGTAGTTTTAATTAGGGATTTGGGATTGATGAAGGGGTTAATCATGATTGATGGCTAGATTCTTGTCGGTTTAATTGCATGAATGCCGTTTAATTTGTGTTTGAATAATTTAACTGATATCTCTTGTAACCTAGATGGCCACTAGAATTACAATTGCTTATAGAATAAATTAAGAGAGATCTAATTTGTTCTAGGATACATTCACACACACTTAATCGTTCGCTAAGAGATTAGTAGCGATTAAGGGGCCGTAAGCTCGCTCGTCTTGGCAATAATTTAGGATCCTGTCGCATGAGAGATCAGCCTGGTCCCCTAAATTATTGTACTCTACGCCGCGAGAGCGGTAAGAACTTAGTAATGATTAGCTAGGCTCAATTAAATTAATTTCATGTAATTAGGCCTGATCTGCCAGAAATCTGGTTACCCCGGAATCGATCCCTATTCCCTTCGTCATTAATTAGAAAGAACCCCCTAGGTTAATTGTTCGCATTAGTTTTATTTTCCAAACCAACCAATCTCGCACGACGCTTTTATTTTATTTTCTTTTTAATCGCTGAATTTAGTTAATTCTTAATTCCCTTTTGTCCGTCCCTGTGGAGACGATACTCGTACTTACACCACTTTTCTACAACCATTTTAAGTGCGAGAAAACTCACATCAATGTTCATCAACGGTCTTCTTCCACTTGCTTTCAAAATCATCAGGGCTAAAGTTACCATAAATTAGAGGATTAAGATCTTCTAGAAAACGTGAGTTCTTAACATTATCGCATGCATTTTTGTGAAGATGCCAAGCACAAAGCCTATGAAAGGAGCTCGGAAGCACTGCCCTAATCGCTTCACGCATCGCACCATCTCCGTCAGTGACAACTGCCTTAGGGTGTTTACCAAACATGCATTCACAAAAAGTTTCCAGAAGCCACTTGTATGTTTCTGTCTTCTCATCGGATACTAAGGCACACGCAAAGATAACTGTTTCGCCGTGATGATTGTACCCAGAAAAAATAACCAAAGGCTTGTTATACTTGTTCTTTTTGTACGTAGTGTCAAAAGCAACAACATCTCCAAAGCAATGGTAATCAAGCCTGCTTACACCATCCGACCAAAACAAGTTATCGAGTCTCCCCTCTTCTGTGGTTGTGAACTTAGAAAACATAAAACTATCACTGTCTGCTTTGGCTTGGAGATAAGATAAAGCACTAAATGCATCGCCATCATTTATCTTAGCTCTCTTTTGTTGATCAATGTAATTGTACAAATCCTTCTTGCAGAACCCAACATCGGCGTGCCCACCCTTTTGACCAATAATCAGCCCCATGATATGACAAGTTCGAACTCCATGCAACTGTAAACTATCCACCTGTGCTTTAATGTCGTCACTAATGCCTCTGTAAGCTGGCATTAAATGGATATATTGTGATGGGGTCATCTCATGATTGTGAGTATCCTCAAAATCAACAACTATCCACTTTCTTTTATGATTATCGAACTCTGCGCGAAGTCGTGCCATGCAATTTGTCCGCGTCATAGCTTTTGGCTCCCTAACACGGTCGTTCCTTTCAATGTGCTTCTTACTTCTCAATCCCTCCCGATTACAAACAAATTTCCTCATGACGATATTGTTATTTGATGCACGACGCACATCATCTTTTCGGATAGAAAACCCATTAATTTGAGCATAACAAGAATAAAAGTCATAAACTTCATCCTCAGAGTCGAATTCGAGTCTCTTAATCTCAACCGGTGTCAGATCACAAATTTTTTTATAACCCTCAGGCAATTGTCCATCACCATGGAAATTACCAACAATCGAACCATTGCCTACGTCTTTAGCAAAATCTACTTCGTGTTCTTCAAAATGTTCTGACATTTTCCAATGACTGGAAGAATCATAACAAAAAGATGAAAGTTTGCAATTAAAAATACAATTCACAAAACACATTAAGACTACATCAGTATACGACGTTAAACTACAAATCTGCCATCATCTCCTCTAACTCAAAACCCATCAATTTGAGCATAACAAACATAAGTCATAAAATAATTATAGAGGTAGAAGAGGATAGCGATGAAGGCTTTTCTCGCTTCCTTAATGAAGAGGGACCAGGTAATTAACATCTTCTCTCCCACAGTGCGCCATGATGTATTTAGTATTCTTGTTTAGTCAATCTGCTCTAACAAATGAGGTTTTTGATGTCTTCTAGTTTCAAATTACTTGATAATTTTAAGAAATGAATATGTATAATTTAATGAATCGATGTGTTCTAATAAAATCTATGCCTTTATTGATTTGATAACAAAATTTAAGTTATATCTTACTCTTACAGGAGTAATATATTAAGATGGATTGATAATAATGCACTTAACAGAGGACAAAAGAGGTTCCTAGATATCATTAAAAATTAACAATGCCTTGTCATAAAAACAAATACAAATGTGTGTATTTGTATGGTTGTATACACACATTCAGGGCTGAATAAATAAAAGCTTAAAAGACAAAACCTTGAAGAATTTAAAATCCAAAAGAAACTAAAACCCAGAATAGAAGACGTCCATTTACCCAAATACTACCTATACTTCTAATTGTATACTTACACTGAAAATCTCTAGAATAATATGTAAACAATCCACTACACTATACTAACATCTAATAAAATTGAAATATATTTTGAAATTATGAACATAATGCTTGAAATGTCGGATATTAGACTGAATGCTAGCTATAAGGACAGATTATTAAGTTATTATATTAATATCACTCAGTCTATATTTTCATTAAATTAAAGTCCTTTTCTTTTCTTTTTTTGTTTCTTTGGTGTATTTTAACTTTTAGTTGACTACTTGATAATTTCTACACAATTCTAATTCATATGTCTATATTGAGAAATTATGGACCTAAACCTAATGGATTAAACATTATGACTTCTAAACCCAGAGTTTCCATTTTACATAACTAAACACTACTCGGCCTGGATCATATTAAGCCATATTAAATGGTTAATAAACATGTTTCAAGTTCACATTAAATTTCAGGTTTTAAATGATAGAGTTTTCAATTGGAATAGCATAAGGATTGACTTTTTCTAACAAAGTAACCACATGTTTCAAGATGGAAAAACAATACAAGAAAGATGTGATACATTAGAACTACATTGCATTCGCATGACACAAAAAGGGGTCAAATTGATCATTCTAAACTTCCATATATGAAATTTACAACGACATGTCAACAAAAATTGATGAAAGGCAGCATGGATAGGAGGCATATACCTACAAAAAGATGACATCAATCATGACACCCACATTTTTCTTCGCTACAATCACCATCAGTAGAATAAACCCCCAACTAAAATAAGACGAGATATTCATTCATGCTTAGACATGTCACTATTACTTCAAATCCCATTCTCTTTGATTGTTATTAACTTTAATTTTCAATCAAAAGTTAATTTGAAGATATTTTCAGAGACTCAGATGATTTGGTACGATGAAAAGAAACGGTGTATATAGAAACGGAAGTAGGGTTAGCTTATTCCAGATATTGGGCAAGTGATTTCTAATTTTGATTGGATATTGGATAGCTATTTTGCACAAATTAAAACCCTAAATTTGATTGATGAATAAGCTGCATACATACCGAATTTCCTAGAATATGTTGAAGAGAATCCTTCAAACACGTCGAAATTCTCAATTCATTGGGCGGACAAGTGATGTCCGTGAAAAGCGGCTGGGTGCTCTTAGGCTGCGATGAAGAGAAGGATAAGCCGTTTCTTCTTTCTTCTGTGGTTGCGGTGGTGAGCAGGAAACCCCTAAGTACTTCGTTGGACGCTGGGGACCTGCGGTGGAGAGTAGGAAACCGCCAACGACGGCAAGGCACTTCTTTCCGCCAACGACGGCAAGGCACTTCTTTCGTCGGTTGCTGTGGAGAGCAGTGAACGGGTAGGGATTAGACGTCTCCGTTAGCATTGAAGATGCCGTTTACCGTACATCTATTCGAGGACTAAAGTGCAAAATTTCTTTTTCTTAAACTGATTGCCTCGTCATATGTCTATGTGTTTTATATGTCCACTTGTCTATCTATTATTTGGCCACTCAAGCAAAGGTATGGTACCTCTAAAATTGCAAAGGTACCGTAGCAGGCTCCTTAAATACTTCAACTTCAACATTCTCATTGGTCCAAGTGGATAAAGGTATGATACCTTACGGGTACCATAGAATCCACCTTATTTGTAAACATGATGAGGAACGAAGGTTAGCTATGATATTTATTATTTAAAGTTCTACGGACTTCATATCAACAAAAAAAGTGTTATCTATTTTATTAAACAAAATAGAGACTATTAACTTGATATAGCCTATTTTTATAGGCTATATAGCCATTTTCCCCTTCCGCAAGTGTATGTATATATATACGGGGAGGTACTAATGAACGATATAAGCTTTTACACAAATACTTACGATCACGTGTAGTTTATTAGATTTATTAACATTTTAGTCAATAATTTTTAAAAAATATTTAAGAAAAACTTTTGAAATTTTTCTAAACTTTATGATTTATTTCTGCTTTTTAATCTTTGAATTAGTCATGATTCGAGCTTGTAGCATCTGAATGGATTACCATTTTGATAAGAAACTTTCCTGGTTGTTAGTCTCTCCTAAAATTAAGACCGTAATCACAATTGTATAAAGCTATGTAACCTATGTTAACCAATATATATCCTACGTACTTATCCGACTAAAAGCTCGATTACTTTGAAAGCACAAAGAATAAAATAAAACAAAATCAAGAATTAAAGTAGAAGCAATCCCTTTAAGGAACGTCGTCCGAAAGAATAATAAATATCTTATCATTGGATAATGATAGAGAATTTACCCAAAATAGGACTAAAAAGGTTTGGAAATTCCAAAATAGGACTGATATGTTTTTATTTCCAAAATATGACTAATTACTGCCACGTTTTGGCAGTACCAGACTTCAAACGTGGTAGTATTTTCCAAATTTTGCAGTAATTACTCCTATTTTGGGAATAAAAAACATGACAGTCCTATTTTGGAATTTTCAAACTGTTTTAGTCCTATTTCGGGAACTTTCCCATAATGATACCGTTGTCCTTTTTTCATATAAATTTTTAATTTTTTTTGAATAGTTGGTTTGATTTGAGTTCGTGTAATATCGCGTCAACGGGACCTGATTATGGGTTGGTTTTCAAATGTTTTAAAAAAGCACTTCTTAATTTTTGGCTTAAGGAGCTTTTATTTAGGAGACTCTGTCCGGCCGTCGTCATTTGGAGTGGTTCCCGGTGAAATTTTTTGATGAAAATTTTTGAGCATCTTATTCATCAAGTCTAGTTTACTCATACCAAATTTCAGCTAAAACTTCAATGGGGAAAGAATTCAAATGAATTCTTGAAAATAACTGCGCTTCTAACTGCGCAGTTATTTTGAAGAATTCATTTGAATGCCTTCGCGATTGACGTTTTAGCTGAAATTTGGTATGAGCAAACTAGACTTAATGAATAAGATGCTCAAAAAATTTCATCAAAAAATTCCAACGGGAACCACCCCAAATGACGACGGCCGGATAGAGCCTCCTAAATAAGGGCTTATTTGACCTTTTTTGGTTAGTACATGAGCCTATTTGCACTTTTTCCCTAGTTTTAATAGACAATTTAAAAATAAAATGAGATCCCATGAGCGTTCCCTACCCATGGCCGATCTCTAAACTCTAAAGTCTAAACGCCTCCCTTCCCGACCATTGTGGATATGGTCAAGCTTTGAAAGGATATGCCCACAGGCCACAGTTCACATGTTGAATTCCATTGTTTTTTATTTTGGGAATAATCATTCACTCGTTTCATTACTTTCATCTACTCGGAATTGCTGATTTCATTCCAACCGCGTTAATTTTAACATCCCACCTACTCCACTATATAAGTCATACGCAAGCCCAACCAACCACATATACAAATCAACCGCCAAAACAACCTTGTTATACCATTTTCAGCTACTAATCCGTATAATACTCCCAAGCAAAAAAAAAACATCCACAAAACACATATTGAATTGATAAGAATGGCCAAGAAATCAGGGAATTCTCTCTTCAGACTATTCAAGCTGAAGAAAAAGAAGGAACGACGGGACGAAGGAGATTCGGAGAGGGACGAGGCGGTGGTAAAGAAGGAGAAGGTGTACAGAGTGTATAGGAGTGACGAAGACCGTCTCAATTGGGTGGGTGACCCCCAAATTGATGCCAAAGCCACCGCTTTCATCAACGCCATGAGACTGAAGTATCGGAAGAGCAGCGACACCAACGACAACGGCGACGACGTCTGGAAACAACATTAATCATTTATATGTCGACGTTTGAATTGGTTTTGTATATATATTGTCATAGGACTCATAGATAGCATGCAACTTTGTTTTTATAGCAGCAAGCGCAGCGTTAGGATGAATGGATTAGCAGCAACTTTATTTAGTTGAAAAACCAGGCTAATTAAGCTTGCTAGCTTAGTAGTTTTTAATCTACTAGCAAGCTCTCTCGATCAGCTACTATGCTCCTCTATGCATACAGCATACTGTATAGATTGTATTCTCTCTATGTGATTACAGAGGATATCTGATGTTAACTTCTTTACTTCACTGCCGTTGCCAAGTTCGATGAACGTAAGAAAAAAACGACCCTAAGTTAGGGGGGGCGACCGCCCCTTGGATTTCCAAATTTTTCTAGTATATATTAGGTATGTATGTTTTCGCCCCCCTTAACTTTTAGTTTTCAAAATTAATATATAGGCTCACATAATGCAATGCTTAATTGGAGATTTAAAAGAAGTAGAATCTAAAATAATTTACATAACTTAAACAAATAAACAATAAGACTCGTTGTTTAAGACTTAGGGTACCAAAAAATTCTTAGTTTTGAAATGTTTAATTATCTTTATTAGATAATTAGTACTCGATTTTGTAAGATATCAAAAGATATTGAATATCAGATACAGTAGTTAAATAGTATAAATGTTTGTTGACATTAAATTACACATTTCGTTTACCTCTTACTTTCTAAAAACAATTTGTTGAATAGATAATACTTTAACTTATTTTAGCATTAATACAAATATAATATGTACCATATATATGAATTAACATTACTACGTATCATATTATTCTATGTATAATAATCTCATACATACTATTGTAATATTAAGAAAACTCATCATGACCCACAAATACCCTTCTTGGTAGACAAAAATCTCAATTCAAAAACCAATTCTTTATCCTGTTAAGATTCATGTGGTTAAACAAGACATAAGTTACTTAATGAGGTTGATGTGTACCTTTAACTTTAACCACTTTACTTTCAAATAATATCAATAAAATGTTATACCGGAGTATATCATATCATTTCTTACTTTCAAATAATTTTCCTTTAATTTGTACATTTCTTAAGCTTTAATGTATCAATATTTTTTTCTGGAGCACTTATGATTATTAAATCAAAGTTATCTTTTCATTGTCTAAAATTAGAATTGGGAATATAATAGATTTAATTGTCAATGTGTATGTAGTATGTACTAATGGAACTTTTTAAATAAAAATTAGCCACAGAGCCCTACACTAGCGAAAAAATTTGCCCCACTACACTAGTGATTTTTTTCCTGTTCCGCTTACTAGCGAAATTTTTTCACTTCCTACACTAATGAAAAAATTTCGCCCCCCTTGACTCGAAATCCTGGATCCGTTCCTGACCCTAACTGCTCCGATCCTAAAAGTACCATCCACCTATAGACAGTGGTGGAGCTATATAGGTGCAAAGGTGTTCATATGAACACCTAGATTTGAAAAAAATAAGCTAGTATACATGTATAAATTTAATTTAATTATTTATTGCCTTTTCAAATTTTAATTATAGAAAATAAATGAACACCCATAGTTTGGAACATAGATCCGCCAGTGCCTATAGAGATATTTGTCCCTAGTATGACTAGAAGTCCTGAAGTTTCTAAAAATATGACCTCAAAGTTTTTTTGCCTAATCTATGTTACCCGAATCATCGATCATACGCATCCCATACGTTAAGTTTTTTTAATTCCATCGCTACCCTTCAGTCAACCCTACGGTCAGAGCATCTTTATACCAAATTTGTTTAAGCATTTATTTCCCAATCCGCTAAATTAGGTAACCGTTTTTTCATCACGATTCCCTCTCGTCTTCAACCTTCATCTTCTGCTTGTTTCAATGAATTCCAAATAAGTCTTCCCTTCTTCTATTCGTTCTTCCTGTTTCGGAAATTATGGAAATCGTGTGTTCTCCAAATCAATCTCCAACCATACATGTCTTGATGAACGTAGATGGCCAGTGGTTGTCGGACATTCACTTTCAGAGCTCAACCGCCATCGCCATTAATATTCCTTTGTCCTGCAAGTGGATTGAATTTCGTGGAATTGTATACAATTCGTTGGGCGTAAGAGATTGTGATAATGCTATACGTATTTCATATGTATTTCAAGTATGTTCTCCGCCGCTTATCATCAATGACGATTCCAGCTTGATTTTTTTATCTTCAAATGAAAAGCATTCAATCAGACTTCAACAAACTTCCTCTGTGTGTAGAGTTTCTTCAATCGTTTCAAGGTTAGTCAAATATTTCTCCCCTGGTTTTATCTTTTACTTGCAATTTAAATATATGAATTTAGCTTTCAAATTATCTGTATTATTTGTAATTATTTTTATTTTGATTTCAAAGGATGTGCTGAAAGTGCAAACACGGTTAATTACTCTTTTTCGGATGATGAAGTTTTGGATGATTTGGAGGATTCTGAAATATTAGCAGCAGCAGACCAACAAACTATGCAGTGTAGTGATGTTTTGGAGGATTCTTATTTAATCCTTTTGTCTTTTGATGAAGATGTTATCAATGATGCAATGACTTCACATCTTCGTTTGAGGTTCCTCTCTGTTCTTTTGTCCCCCACTTTGACCCCACCCGTCTTGCTCTGGACGCCATATATCAAAACAAGAAGGAGTTTAGTTTTAATCTAAAGATGTATGCAATTACTAATTTTTTCCAATACCGAACAAAGTCATCTTCTCATAAGGTGTTACATGTTATTTTGTGTGGATCCTGATTGTCTGTGGGCTGTTTGTGGAGATTGCTTGGATGGAAGTGGCTTGTTCCAAGTGCGATTAGTGTTTTCTTTTCTTTGGTTATGTATTTTTTTAGATGTGCTTGTTTTTTGAATTACAATTTTTATTGTTTGCATAATGTTTACATTATTGAATGCAGTGTTATTGCACTTATAAGCTGCAGGTAATGAAATTGTTTAGACCTTATATGTTGTATTTTTACTTGAACAACCTTGTGAGGTTCAAAAGAAAATTCGGAAGAGGAACCGCGGCCTTCCCTTAGGGTTTGGGGCGTAGTTTTTCCGACGAAGCTTTCGATTGAAGAGCTTCAAATAGTCATAGGCAGCGGGCCATACTATGGAGAAGGGGGGTTCCAATGAAGTTTTTGATACAGATTTGGCAAGGATTGATCCTTGAGGAAGAGAAGCGTGGGATTGCTATCGATTTTGGTGGAGACAGCACAGGGGTGATCGATGATGATGAAGAAGTGGCGGCCGAGTTGAAGGAATACCGCTTTGGTGCGTCAACAATCATAGCGATGGTCCGGCCTCCTCCTGAACCACCGCCAGGGGTGAACAAGGTGCTACGGTTCAAGAAATTTATTTTTCTTGTTTAGTTTTTTTCATGTTTCATTTTTATTTGGATCTTTACTCTGTCTTAGTTGTGTCGTGTTTTTTTCGGGAAAAAAAAAACTCTAGAACTTAGGATAGGTGATGGGGAGCCTAGTTTGCCAGTCATTGGCTCTGGTAAGTCCAATTCAGGATCAGCGAATCTGGTTGCTTCTTTTGAGGTGGTAGGTTCTAAGTCTGGTTCAAGGGCAGACGGTAGACAATGAGCTCTTTGTCTGGTTGTATACTGTTTACGCTCTTTCTTATTAATATAAGCCACCTTCTTCCAAAAAAAAAAGAGACTCCCTGGAAATTGCTTTTTTTGTTCTTCACATCAGAATTTTTTGTGAATCGGTTTCCAATTCATCTATATTCTAATTTCAAACGCAACGAACATTTTGACATTACCCTCCACAGAGGATACTCGTCGTATCCTATGGCCTGGTTTAACCGGAATAGGGAATGATTAATCCTGATCGTATCCCCTCCCACGATAATCACACTGCTACTTGGTGGCCTGGAGGGGATGCACGCGGATGGAGGCGATGCCACGAACATGGAGGCGATGATAGATTGAGGGAGAATATTAGGGTTTATTAATAATAATAATAAGTTATGGGCATTTTAGTCTATATAAAATATATCTTTATTTATTTATTAAAAGTATTATTTACGTATTACAAAATAAGAATTATTTAGGGAAGAAAACTTGTCAAAAGTCATATATTGAGAAGGAGGAGTAGTTTTAGTCACACGTATGAAATATGAAATATGGTCGATGGACGTGTTGTGCACATTTTGAATAAAGATGTTCTTTTTCCAAATTAAGCAGATAGTTTGTTTATTTACGTAGTATTTATTTTCCTTGTGAAATACGTAGTATGTTGAAATTTCGAGAAGAGAAGTTGAAAATGTGGATGATGAAATTACAGACTACCATTTGTGATGCTTGAGGCCAGGACGCCAGGTGGACTAAAGATTTAAGAGACAATTCATCACAAACTTTCGACTATCAAAAGGTTGGAGTGCAGGGGCTATGCATGGGAACATCATTGTCAAAAGGCTGGTGGGATAATCGAAGATGAGATGGGTCTTATCTTGAGATTGTGATTAGAGCATATACTTTTGTTTTATATTAAATTTAGGGTTTCGAGGCATTAAATATGAGCATTGAACACCGTCAGTGAACATTTCAATAAGTGTTGAAGTCTATGGTAATAGACATATTGAACATGGCAGTGAATGAATGCATTAAGAATTTTTGTTGTGAATTCATTATGACCGGTATTGCAGTAATACAGAACAGTGAATTCATCATGAAATGCAATATACTTAATTAGAAGTAAAATAATAAAATTATTAAACCTAAAAAAATAAAAATAAAAAACAAAAATAAATTCCTCAAGTGAATGAGAAGAGAATTAATTTTGGCAAAAGTGCAGTGATTATAACCGGATGTGCAGTGAAGACGTGCATTAATTTTGTGCATTAACGGAAATATAAAGTGCAGTAATTTTAATTGGTCGAAATTAGTGCAAAATGCACATATTTTAAATAAGGGTATTTTCGTCATTCAACATTTAAATATAAACGAATTTTCTATTTTTTTTGGATTTTTGGTCATACAAAGGTGTAATAACTAGTTAGATCATAGATTGAGAAACTCATTGAGTTTTAGTCATATCCCAATAAATTTCCCAACGCATGAATGATTGTCTGCGGAGTCTGAAAAATAGTTTGTATCATTCAAATGTCATTATAATTTGTTTGTGTGAACATATAAATGAGGAAAACAAGAAAGTATCTGTAAAGTTAGGCCACACACAAAAATTTGTGCAGACATCGATCTGTGTTCGTCTTTACTCTTTACATAGGCGCCAGTTCGTATGGTAGAGAAAACGATGTCTATTGATGTCACCTCAGAACAAATTTCACCATTAGGACTAAT